TTTTGGAGAAAGAAGGTTCTGGAGGGAATAAAGTGGATGTGAGCCGGCCAACAATAGTTGTGAAGGAAAATGATATTTATATGATTGCTGGGACTTACAGCTCGAACCCTGCTGATGGTTGTCAGGATGGGGCTGACGTGGCTACTTTGAAACTTCTGCTGGTAAAAGGGCAAGTCAGTGATGAAGAAAACAAAAAAATTGGCTGGAACGATGCTCACGCTCTACCGTGCACTTTTTTAAACCAAGAACACAAATCCTGGACGCGGCTGACTGGCGGAGGCGGATCGGGTGTCAAGATGGATGACGGTACGGTTGTGTTCCCCGTGGAAGGCACGAAGAAGGGTGACGCAAGAAACGATGAAAAGGCCGTTTCTCTGATCATTCACTCCTTGAAGGATACTAAGAGTTGGGTACTGTCGAAGGGGACGTCTGACGGTGGCTGCAGTGCTCCCTCCGTCGTGGAGTGGGAGGACAAAAAAATCATCATGATGACTGCGTGTGATGATGGCCGCCGCAGGGTGTACGAGTCCGGTGACAAGGGGGAGTCGTGGACGGAGGCACTCGGGACACTCTCGCTCGTGTGGGGCAACAAAAAAGGGTGAAAAGGTTGAAATTGTTGGGAGCGGGCTCATTACAGCGACTGTTGGAGAAGATAAGAGAAAAGTGATGCTTGTCACTCTGCCGGTGTATTCCAAAAAAGGAGAAAAGGAAAATGTGGAAAAGGGTGAACTCCATCTTTGGCTGACGGACAATACGCACATTGTTGATATTGGGCCGGTATCCGGTGATGATGACGCTGCCGCCAGCTCCCTGTTGTACAAAAGTGGAGATAATAATAAAGGTAAGAAGGAGGAGTTGATTGCACTGTACGAGAAGAAGAAGGACGGTGAGGATACAACATCACCCGGTATGGTCTCTGTGCGTCTGACTGAGCAGCTGCAGCGGGTGAAGGAGGTGCTAGCGACGTGGAAGAATGTGGACGAACGTGTCTCCAAGCTGTGCACCACTTTACTTGCACAGAAGGTTACCTCACCTAACACTGCCTGCAATACTGTTAAGGTCACGGATGGGCTGGTTGGCTTTTTGTCCGGCAAATTTTTTGGCGACACATGGAGGGACGAGTACCTCGGGGTGAACGCTACAGCAAAGGGGAATGTTAGGGCGGAAAAGGAGGATAACGGCGTGACATTCATGGGGCGCGTGGGCGCAGTGGCCCGTTGGCGAGCAGGGGGAGAATCAGCTGTACCACTT